TGTCTCTCTCTCTCTCTCTCTGTGTGTGTGTGTGTGTGTGTGTGTGTGTGTGTGTGTGTGTCTCCTCTTCTCCCTTTCTTCGCTTTCCCCTCCATAGCGCACTAAGTAAATATCCAACCTCACTCTGCATGTTGTGCCTATTTGTCTGTCTCTCACCCGCCACGTGGCTCCCTGACTGGGACCAGCCACCTTCAGAGACCTGTGGCATGGTCTCGCGGCATGCACATCTGTCTGTCTCTCATGGGATTTTCTCCCTGCCTGGAACTGGCAGCCTTTATGGCCTGCCATGCTCTCAGGACCCGCTGCCCACTGCCTGCTGCCACTTCGGGGACCTGCAGCATGGTCTCATGGCACTGCCCACTGCCACCACTGGGGGACCTGCAGCGTGGTCTCATTGCCCACTGCCCACTGCCACCACTGGGGGACCTGTGGCATTTTACTTAAACCATAACATGCTCCTCAGGCTCATGGTCAGCGACCTCTCTCATTTTGCCCAGACCTACCTACCCAGAGAGGGCACCTCTACACCAATTAACAGAGAAAATGACCCCGCAAAAGAGCCACAGGCCAATCTGATGGAGGCAATTCATCAGCTGAGGTTTCTCTCCCCAGGTTGTCAGGCTGACAACTGAGATTCGCTGTCACCGTGACCAGACTATCTCATGTTCTGGGGTCTGAAACTGGAGAAAAGGAAAACCAAGAGAAGGCGAGCAGATGCCTCACCTTCTATGACTCCTGACTGGAAAACATGAGCAGCTCCTTCCTGCTCATGACGTCACAATGTCACCACCCTCCCAGCCATGACAGGCTGTGCTGTCAAACCACGACTCCAAATGAATCCTCCCTCCTTAAGTGGCTGTTGGCCAAGTATTTTAGCACAGCAATGAGGAAGGTAACATAACCTAAGGAAGTAACTCAGTCCCCGCACCCTCTCCCACCTGGCTAACCTGTCCCCACTTCTCTAAGCAGCCTCTGGGAGTGTCACAGTCTTTGGAGGTCCATCTGAAGACAATCACAGCGTCTCTCTGCCCAGGTAACTGTAGGGGTAGGGACAGGGACAGGACTGGCAACTCCTCTATCAGAAGAGCAAGGGGACCCAACAGATTGGGAGCATTATATAAACTGAGTTTTATATAAATATGATTTTCATAATTTTTGAAAGTCTAAGATCATATAGATATTCATAATATAATCATATGTCTTTACATAACAAAATTGGAGTGATATACTTAGAAACAGTTACTTTGACTACATCTAAGTAGTTATTTTCTATCTCTCCCTTCCTCCTCCTTTCCTTTCTCCCATCCTGCCTGACTTTCCTAGGTTAACCTAGAATTCACTATGTAGCCCAGGCTAACCTGGAATTCACTGTGTAGCCAAGGCTAACTTTGAACACATAATACCCCTCGTATTTTAGCATGTGCTGAGATTTACAGATATTAGCCAACAAAACTTTATTTCCTGTATGAAACAAAGAAAGTGATATAAGTGCTGGCAAAACTATATCCTAAAGGATATTTTCACATAAATAAACTACAATAAAATGAAAGAGACAATAAAAATTTTAAAGTAAAAAAGATCAACAAAAAAAACCTGTAACATATGATACAGCATATATGATCAGATATATGTTTAATAATGACAAGGGAACTAAATAGGGAATCTACAAAAGAAAAAAACGTATTTGTGTGAAAAGTTATTTCAAATAGAATACTATACACCATTTTAGGGCACAAAATTAACAACGGTTTAAATGCTAATCCCTGATGCTATTGGGAGTGTAAGGAGAAGTCTCTCTGCATCCGTGGGAGGCACACAACCCATCCAGCCTTGGGAAAGGATGGTTCAGAATGCACAGCACTGTCAACTAAGTTGCATGTCCTTCCTCAACATTCGGGCACTGGAGCCCCGGGCCCCAAGGTAAGGCATTAAGGGACAGCACTCTTAATCTGGTAGTTAAGAATAAGTAGGTTTCAAAGGTGAGGCCCTAATCTGATAAGACTCTTGTCCTCCTAAGGAGAGGAAAGGTCACCAAAGATCTCTGTCAGCATGCGGTGGAAGGCCATGTGAGGACACCGAGGGCGTCTGCAAACCTGGAAGTGAGGGAGGCCTGGGTGGAAACCAAATACGACGGGAACATTGATTGATCTTGGAGTTTCCAGGCCCTAGAACTGCAAGAAAATAAATCTCTCTTGCTGAGCGGAAGGCGTTTTGTTCTCGTGCTCTGGTAGACTCAGTGCTCTCTCACAGGCAGAACCGCTTTTCATGTGTGCGCCACTCAGAGAGGCGCGTCTCTTCTGGGAATTTAGCCTAAGGAAATAAACAAGAGTTTTCTGCAAAATTTAGCATGTTCTGCTAGTGAGACTCAATCAGATGCTGTTCCCGACAGAGGATAATATATACATCACTAACTTTAAAGTGTAAGGTAGAAAATATGGAAATTTTATGCTGTGTTTTAAGTGGGGGAAAAAAAGGCATGTAATAAAGTAGTGTCCTTGTGTCCCTAAGTTTATATGCTAGGGTAGCAAATATATATACGTAATATATACTTATATGTAGGATAGCAAATATATATATATATATATATATATATGTATATGGGCTTAGCAAAGTGTGATGGCACATACCTCTAACTCCTGCACTTGAGAGGTCTTAGGAAAGTCAGGAGTTCAAGGCCATCCTCCCCTGCACACTGAGTTCAAGGGGAGCTTAGGCTTTATAAGAACCTGTCTCAGAAAGCAAATAAATAAGGATTTACAGCCTCCTGTGAGAATGACTCATATATGCCAGCTGCATGGCTTCGGGCAAGTTGCTAATTACATAGGATACCGCCCCCTCTCCCATCTCATCTATAAAAGCTCCTGTTGTGACAATTAATTCAGGTAACGAGGGCATTTCATTGATGGGCTACTGAAGTGGTAGCGGTTAAAGTCCTCAGTAAAGAGGTGAACACTCAGCAGAGTGGGGACTCAGCAGAGTGGAAACTCAGCAGAGTAGGAACTGAGCAGAGTGGGCACTCAGCAGAGTAGTAATTGAGCAGAGTGGGCACTCAGTAGAGTGGGCACTCAGCAGAGTGAGCACTCAGCAGAGTGAAGTACGCAATAGAGTGGGTACTCAATAGAGTGGGTACTCAACAGAGTCGGCACTCAGTAGAGTGGGTACCCAGCAGAGTGGACACTCAACAGAGTAGGTACTCAGCAGAGTAAGCACTTCGTAGAGTGGGTACCCAGTCAAGTGGGTACCCAGCAGAGTGGGCACTCAACAGAGTGGGTACTCAGCAGAGTGGGCACTCAGTAGAGTGGGTACTCAGAAAAGTGGGTACTCAACAGAGTGGGTACTCAATAGAGTGGACACTCAACAGTGGTAATTCAGCAGAGTGGGTATTCTTCAGGGTGGATAGTCACCTGAGTGGGCACTCCGCAGAGTGGGAACTGAGCAGAGTGGTTGCTCAAGACTCCAACCCTGTAAGGATTTCTGTCCTAACTCTAGTTGTTGCTACTAAGGGTGTGACCCTTTGCTTCTCTGAGCTTCAGGTTCTTCATCTATGAAATGATGGCCCAACCAGCTGATCTCTGAGAACTCCTGTACTCAGAAAGGTGAGAAGTGATGTTGTGTCTGTAAAAGGAGACATCATAGCTTTAAGTAACATGAAAAAAAGAACTAACCTCCTGCCCACTGGCTCCTCCTCAAGAGGCCCACGGTTGCTCCCACCTCATGTGCAAGAAGGTATTTTCATGTTAAATGATTCTGCCCTTCCCTGTGTGACAGCACCAGTTGCTTTCAGAAATGCCGATTACAAAAATACATTACAGCCAAAAGCTACTAAGCATTCAGCCTTGCATTTAAATTAATTTTTATTTTAATGAATCCCAATAGCACCCTCATTTACTTGAAAAATAGTAACACTTATGTGGAAGACACTTCATTCATCTCCCCTGAGGACGCAGTTGGCATCCTTGCAGAGCCATCGAGACCACTCCAGTACCCACCATTTGAGAGCCACGGAGACAGGGGGCACTGTGGGAAGCTTCTCAGGGCTCTACAGGAAAGGGGGGAACCTGCTTCCTATGACTATCTCCAGGTTGAGCCGAGACATGCAGTGTGCTGTAGCTTCAGGAATATTGTCCCATGGTGTGAATGCCAAGTAGACTGAAAGCCCCTTGGCATCCACAGGGATGTGTGAGGTTAGTGTCTGCTCCAGAACAAAAAGGCAGTCCTCAGTAGAACTGGAAACGTGAGCTTCAGGCGACAGTTTGGATATTTCCCCTTCAAATTTATCATCTGAGAGACGTACCCTAATCCAGAAGAGGCCACCCCTTAAACCAAAACCAAATTGTCCGATATGATTGTTCGGCACACAAGGCTACAGATGGCTACGGAAAACTCTGCGTATGACCTGAAAGACAGTCTGCAAGGGGCTGGAGAGACTGCTCAGAAGAACACTTGCTGCTCTTGTGGCAGAGCCAGCACCTACATGGTGGCTCACAAGCATCTGTCACTGCAGTTATAGGATATCTGAAACCTCTAGTGATATATTGTTTGTGTTTTAACAAATAAAGCTTTCCCGAAGATCAGAGAAGCAATGCGGCCAGCCTCTAGAGAGACTTTTTACCTCTACCAGTGCTCAGACCAAAAGGACAATCCTGTCCTCAGACTGACTCCTTCAGGCTGCAGCTGTCTCCACCAAACCTCAGACTGCACTGAACTCCTGTCTTTATTCCTTATATTCCTCTCTCCACTGTCCAGCCATATCGCTCTTGTCTCCACCTACCTAGTCCTGGGATTAAAGGCATGGGATCCCAAGTGTTGGGATCACCTTTGTGTGAGCTCTGTTTCTTTTTTAGACAGATTCAATCTTGTGGAGCCCAGGGTGGCCTTGAACTAACAGAGATCCATCTGCCTCTGCCTCCCGAGTCAAGGGATTAAAAGTGTGTGCCACGACTGCCTGGCCTCCAGTGGCTTCTCTCTGCACTCTGATCTCCAGGCAAGCTTTATTTGTTAAAACACAAACAAAATATCACTACAGATACTCTCTCAGACACCCAAGGTGTATATACATACATACAGGTAAATACTCACATACATAAAATGAAAATCTATCTTAATAAAGGAGAGAGAGACAGTTTCCAGTCACCCTACATCTCTTCATCTTAGCTTTGTAAAGCACGACGGTGAAAATCGTACCAAATTCAATGGTGACTGTTAGCTAAGACCTGCTAAAGGCTCCTGGTATCCTCCAAAGCACTAGGGAAATGATACAATTGTTACTAGACCGATGGTGGAATTTTTTCAAGTTAAAAAAAAGTAATACCTTTTTTCAACCTCTGCTAAAGTCTGGCAGCCCAGAAAAAAAAAAAAAACCTGTTAATGCCAAACAAAAATGACCGGTTTAATCCCCTGCCACGTCCATGCCTGTTAGTCATGGTACCGTGTGCATAAGAATGACCTGGAGAAGTGGAGGTTGTAAAATCCCACGTGTCTGCTCTCCTCCAGACCTGGCAGATGAGCCATTCAAACCGCATGCACAAGAGCAGCTCGCTCAGAATTAGCTCAGTCTAGAATAACAAGGAGTCTGGTTTGACTTCCCTGCTCGGGGAGAGAAAGGTCCACTGGTGTCTACCTTTCCCTAGATCGCAAAGCTAGCTTCTTGCTCATTCTTAACAATATGATTTAAGGATTAAAATCTGTGTTCCAATTTATATGCTAGGGAAAGACCCTTTGCAAAAACTCCAAGAGCTCACAGGCAAAAATGAAACAGCTCCATTGATATGCAATCTTTTCTTTCCTTAAGAGCATACTTGCCTTGGAGAAAATAATAATTTATTTATATTATGTAGGTGAAAGTACTCCCATAAAAGCTCAGTCTCACCAGCAGAATCATCAGATTTTCAATTTATTTTGCCTAGCTTGATTACCAATCACATCTACTCCAAATCACCTATGAATACCCCTTTAAGATCCCCAAGCATCTTGTTAGTCCCAGTTTGGGAGCCTTGAGTGTATCTCCATGTGCACAGGATTCAGACCTAAGACAGCTGCAGCCCTGTGTAAATGCTAGCAATTGTCGCCGCTGTACAGAAAGCTGATAGACTTCAGACTGCTGTCCGATTATCCTCCTTGGAGCACCATCCTAGAGACTCAGTGATAACAGCCCTAAGAAAAAGATGTATGTATTCAGAAATAAAAATGAAACAAGAGGATGCCTGGGATTTGCTTCACAAGGAAAAAAATGAATTGTAAATCATCACAAGCTATATGTGTCCTTAGAGACAGATATGGATACGGAAGTGGAGAGACGTGGGTACAGATAGAGATTGTATTGAGAGAGTGACTGAGATAGAGATGTGGGCGTGGCTGTGGACAGAATGTCTTTCAGAAGCAAAGAGACCATATTGGGCTTGATAAAAGGAGCATTTCCGCCATCTTTGTGTTGTATTTCTGTTACTATATAATCTTTTTACAATAAAATGTTTGCTTCCTCAGTTTTCATGTGTGGTTTGGTTTCCATTGTTGTTTTATTTTTAGGGAAAAGGCTGCAGTTGTGGTATTCACAGTAGGACTATAAAGCATTGCCTCTGCAGTCTGTTTTAAAAGCAGACAAGGCCTCTTGGCAAGGCTCACTTCGTACAGGCTTAACCTTCCTACTTCATCACCTTCCTTCGAGGGTCTGGTTCATTCCTCTTCACAGATGATTGTCTAAAAGCATGAGCTCATAAATCTCCCAGTTAAAGTTCATGGTTTCCCTGCATAACGTCTGAGACAATTTCTTGAGTACATATTTTTTGGTTGGATCCTCTATGTATTTGCTGTCTAGTCCAAGAGACTCTAGGTCTCAAACAGACAGCGACAATGACTGTCTGGTTTGTCATTGTGTACCTAGTACCTATCATAAAGCTGGTATGTAAACATATATTGAACAAATAAATGGTTAAACCAGGATCCATGCAGGAAGACAGATGAATGAATGAATGAATGAATGAATACATGCATGTATGAATGAATAAATGGCTGAACCAGGATCCATTCAGGAAGACGAATGAATGAATGAATGAATGAATACATGCATGCATGAATGAATAAATGGCTGAACCAGGATCCATTCAGGAAGACAGATGAATGAATGAATGAATGAATACATGCATGCATGAACGAATAAATGGCTGAACCAGGATCCATTCAGGAAGACAGATACACAAATAAATAGC